CACTGTTTGAATTGAATCAGTCGCTCTGTAAAGAAATTTCTAGGAAAATCCTCTGCTGTGAATTGAGTGCCATATTCTTTTAGGGATTCCACTTCTGTGGTACATTGGGGACAGGTGAGATTGTATTTGCTCGGGTCTTTAAGATCCTTGGCTGCTTTTCGAAAGTCTTCAATATATTTGGTTAAGCAGGATTCACAGTAGGAATGTAAACAGCATAAGAGACGTGGTTGTCTGTACTGCATACCACATAAAAAACAGGTGAGGAAGTTGACAAGACTTTTAGAATTTATGTCAGCCATTCTACAGAGTTTTACTTGCTGGCAGAGGAAAAGACATAAAATTAGATATGTGTAACTTGTAATATCCCAGGTAGGATTTATTAAATGTATCACAAGTTTCACGAGAGAGAGAGAATAAATCATTGTAAATGTGGCTTTAGCATGATGCAATATGTTAGAAATGAATTTAAAAACAATTTCAATCCCTGATATCACAGGAAAAAAAAATTCTTGATTTTTTTCTAGTGATATAGCAAATACTAAAAGCATCAATAGAAATTCATTGCAAATGATTTTACTATAGGAATGCATTAGAAATGATTTGAATACTAGCTCTTTATGGAACCTGGAATATTATGGCTAGGATTTGTGAAACAAATCCATCCAAACTTTTATTCCCTCTAATGATTCCATATCTAGTGATATAGCAAATACTAAAAGCATCTATAGAAATTCATTGCAAATGATTTTACTATAAGAATGCATTAGAAATTATTTGAATACTAGTTTTTTTTTATGGTATATCATACATTGGATTTATGAAACAGGTTCTATTTTAGAACCTTTCATAAATGCTGAAAATTTTTAATAAATTTATATAACACTAATATAGTATATTTTATGAAGAGATTAACAGAAACATGTCATAAAAATGTATGAGAATTTTTTTTCATACATGAACGAAATGAAAATTTTAAATTTGTGAAAATCTACTTACATAGAAATTCTCTCTACAGCTCAAATCAATGAAGCTTTTTTACCCATTTTTTTTCTTAATGTTTCTTGTTTTTGCTTCATTTTAAACTCCACTCGATAAGTAAGAATAACGGATCATGTTGAAACATGCACTTATCTGCTTTTTTTTTTTTATCTATTGACTTCCTTTGAATGTTGTCTTTCGTTCTAACTTGTTTTTCCTGATACCACTTTTGTGTCGAGGCAAATACCAAACATCCCTCCCCTACCATCAATATGGTCACACCAAATTATTTGCTGTTAATCAATATGCGTTTGTTGTATAGGTATTTGAATTGGCAATTGAAACTCTGAAACTTCCTTAATGTGAAATATATATGAAAAATAAGCTAGCTAGCTAGCTATATATATATATATATATATATATATAACACACACACACACACACACACACAGGTAGTAATCTGTTGGTATAATCCAAGCAACACAACATAGAATTTAAAATCTGTTAAAACTGACTCACAGAAGAGCACTCAATGTCTATTTTCATTAAACAGAGCAAATTTTCTTTACATTTGAAATTAAGATACCTTTAGTTAATGACCATTTTCACCTATGAATTTTAATTCTAAAATTCGCAAGATTTTTCAAACTGTTTATGGTCTTACCCAAGCTCTCTTACCTCAATAATATAATTCCAGTAACAGTGCCGCCTTCTCTCCATATCTCCCACTAAGTTCCCTATAATGCTCTTTCTCACTGTCTCCAACTAACCAGTATCCCACTACAAACTGATACCATAAACAGTTTGAAAAATCCTGTGAATTTTAAAATTAAAATTCCTAGGTGAAAATGGGCATTAATTAAAGGTACGTTAATTCCAATTGTAAAGAAAAGTCTCTGTGTGCGTATGTATATTTGGAAGCAGACTGAGCTTTGTTGCCAAGTCTACAGATGGGCATGAAATGAGATACACAGGTAATTTCAAAATTTATATATACAGAAGCATTTTTTATTGAAATTGCTTAATTTTCTATTATATTTTTCCAGTTTTCATATAAGCCAATATATATCAAGATCTGAGTGTCAAATGTTTGTAAAAATTTAATAACCAAAACAAAACAATGAAAACAATCGGTCCTTATCAGTTAACTTGATAAAACCTGTCTGAATGAGTTTTTGTTTTCTAAGTATATATAAAAATAAATATGAGGCCAGTCTGTTAATTCTTGGCATTTTCTTTTCCTGAAAAAAAAAAAAAAATTAATCACCACTTTAGAGATTCTTGCTTCCATAGTTGCCTTGGAACCTAACACTTGTATCGGCTCCATTTTCTGTTCTTTGGGAATTATCATCAGCAATATTGTTGCTATTATCTTTGTCTTAAAAGCATTTTAGTGAGGATCTTAGCTTTAGGAAAAGCTATAAGCTGTGGGGAGCCAAATTGTTTGGTCCTGATATTTCACCCCCACCAAAATCCACTGTCATGAAGAATCTCCTCTGTTTGTCTTTCATTGTGACAAATTGTACTTGAGCTCATTTGGTGGTATCTCAGCAGTAAGGTCCCTTCTAATTTATGACCAGGTTTCATCAAGGCAGCACATCCAGTTCTAGAGAGATATTGAGGATAGCTGGATATTTTCCAAACATTCCTGTCAAAAGACATTGGCATAGAAAAGAAATCAACCAACAAAAAATGTATTGAAGAAGTGGGTTTGCTTTTGTTCTTGTGCAGTCAGTCCTATAAAGCAGCTGTTCTTTTGTAACCTCTTCTGTCCCGTTTAACTGGATTCCATAATAGACAGGTGGGTGTACTGAAAAGTTCTCGGCCTGAATCTCTTCACAAAAATCTGAGTAGTCATTTATTTTGTATATAATTTTTAGGAAATGTATTTTTGACATGCATGTATGAATTAGATGTAAATTAGGTGTGTAATTATATATTCTTTTATGTGCCGTGTCTCTTCAGGATGTAGGCAGTCATAGCCCTCCACTCCCTCCTTTCCTTTGTTGCTCTTAATAAGTTTTATCTTTCTGTTATTTCTACCAAACCCTGTTCTGCTATCCATTTGCTCAAGCTCATTAAATATGTTAGGCGCTGCTTACCTCTTTCTCTCTATTTGTCCTGTGAGTATCAGATTTTCCAAACCCTCCTCCCTCGTTACGTGCCCCAGAAATTTCAACTATCCCTTTCTGATGTTAAGTATAAGTGTCCTTTTTTTTCTTTTTTCTTTTTTTTTCCATTTTCTCCAAAACCTCATAAGAGGGATCTACATAGGAACAAAACTGACCATAATATTGAAAGGTACGAATCTACCTCTTCTTCCCTCCAGCTATGGGTTAATTAGTAGAAATTGTAATGGTAGATAATTATCTCTAAAAAAAAATTCTTACATTCCTAAAATGTTTGCTGGATTTAAATAACCTGCAAAAATGTTAAGCCATAAAAATCAAATCTTGCTTTCAATATGTCCTGTGAGTGTCAAATTTTCCAAGCCTTCCTTCTTCATTATGTCTCAGAAATTTCGACTCTTTCTGATTTTAAGTGTAAATGTCCTTTTTGCTTCCATTTTCTCCTAAACCTCATCATTGCTCATATGTTCAATCCATGGTATCCTCAGCATCCTTCTGTAGAATCACCTTTCTGTTGCTTCAAGTCTCTTCCTCATCTTTGAGGAGATTGTCTAGTATTCGCTGCTATACAGAAGGACAGATATCATGTAACAGTTCAGTACTCTTTGTTTCTAATAAAAAATTTTCCTATCTCTTAATACTCTGCTTACCTTTTGGAATGCATCTTTGCCCATCCCAATACATCTTCAGATCTCAATGTCGCACTTTCCGTCCTCTGTAAGAACACTTCCCAGATATTTCAATTTCTATATCTGTTTGATTTTAGTATCCTTGATCTGTAAATTGCATTTCAGGCTCATTGTTTTGCTGATAACCTTGCATTGTCTTCTTGTAGTTTATGCTTAGTCCTTTCCTCTTGTGGTTTATGCTTAGTCCTTTCCTCTTGTAGTTTATGCTTTAGTCCTTTCCTCTTGTAGTTTATGTAGTCCTTTCTTCTTGTAGTTTATGCTTAGTCTTGTAGTTTTAGTCCTTTCTCTTGTAGTTTATGCTTAGTCCTTTCCTCTTGTAGTTTATGCTTAGTCCTTTCCTCTTGTAGTTTATGCTTAGTCCTTTCCTCTTGTAGTTTATTCCTTTCCTCTTGTAGTTTATGCTTAGTCCTTTTCCTTGTAGTTTTGCTTAGTCCTTTCCTCTTGTAGTTTATGTAGTCCTTTCCTCTTGTAGTTTATGCTTAGTCCTTTCCTCTTGTAGTTTATGCTTAGTCCTTTCCTCTTGTAGTTTATGCTTAGTCCTTTCCTCTTGTAGTTTATGCTTAGTCCTTTCCTCTTGTAGTTTATGTAGTCCTTTCCTCTTGTAGTTTATGCTTAGTCCTTTCCTCTTGTAGTTTAGTCCTTTCCTCTTTAGTCCTTAGTCCTTTCTCTTGTAGTTTATGCTTAGTCCTTTCCTCTTGTAGTTTATGCTTAGTCCTTTCCTTTCCTCTTGTAGTTTATGCTTAGTCCTTTCCTTGTAGTTTCTTAGTCCTTTCTCTTGTAGTTTATGTCCTTTCCTCTTGTAGTTTATGGTTTTAGTCCTTTCCTCTTGTAGTTTATGCTTAGTCCTTTCCTTTCCTTTCCTCTTGTAGTTTATGTCCTTTCCTCTTGTAGTTTCCTTTCCTTGTAGTTTATGCTTAGTCTTTTCTCTTGTAGTTTATGCTTAGTCCTTTTCCTCTTGTAGTTTATGCTTAGTCCTTTCCTCTTTGTAGTTTATGCTTAGTCCTTTCCTCTTGTAGTTTATGCTTAGTCCTTTCCTCTTGTAGTTTATGCTTAGTCCTTTCCTCTTGTAGTTTATGCTTAGTCCTTTCCTCTTGTGTAGTCCTTTTCCTCTTGTAGTTTATGCTTAGTCCTTTCCTCTTGTAGTTTATGCTTAGTCCTTTCCTCTTGTAGTTTATGCTTAGTCCTTTCCTCTTGTAGTTTATGCTTAGTCCTTTCCTCTTGTAGTTTATGCTTAGTCCTTTCCTCTTGTAGTTTATGCTTAGTCCTTTCCTCTTGTAGTTTATGTAGTCCTTTCCTCTTGTAGTTTATGCTTAGTCCTTTCCTTTCCTTTCCTCTTGTAGTTTATGCTTAGTCCTTTCCTCTTGTAGTTTATGCTTAGTCCTTTCCTCTTGTCCTTTCCTCTTGTAGTTTGCTTAGTCCTTTTCCTCTTGTAGTTTATAGTCCTTTCCTCTTGTAGTTTATGCTTAGTCCTTTCCTCTTGTAGTTTATGTAGTCCTTTTTGTAGTTTATGCTTAGTCCTTTCCTCTTGTAGTTTTGCTTAGTCCTTTCCTCTTGTAGTTTATGCTTAGTCCTTTCCTCTTGTAGTTTATGCTTAGTCCTTTCCTCTTGTAGTTTATGCTTAGTCCTTTCCTCTTGTAGTTTATGCTTAGTCCTTTCCTCTTTGTAGTTTATGCTTAGTCCTTTCCTCTTGTAGTTTATGTAGTCCTTTCCTCTTGTAGTTTATGCTTAGTCCTTTTCCTCTTGTAGTTTATGCTTAGTCCTTTCCTCTTGTAGTTTATGCTTAGTCCTTTCCTCTTGTAGTTTTGCTTAGTCCTTTCCTCTTGTAGTTTATGCTTAGTCCTTTCCTCTTGTAGTTTATGTAGTCCTTTCCTCTTGTAGTTTATGCTTAGTCCTTTCCTCTTGTAGTTTATGCTTAGTCCTTTCCTCTTGTAGTTTATGCTTAGTCCTTTCCTCTTGTAGTTTATGTAGTCTTTCCTCTTGTAGTTTTGCTTAGTCCTTTCCTCTTGTAGTAGTCCTTTATGCTTAGTCCTTTCCTCTTGTAGTTTATGCTTAGTCCTTTCCTCTTGTAGTTCCTTTCCTCTTGTAGTTTATGCTTAGTCCTTTCCTCTTGTAGTTTATTAGTCCCTTTCCTCTTGTAGTTTATGCTTAGTCCTTTCCTCTTGTAGTTTATGCTAGTCCTTTCCTCTTGTAGTTTCCTTTCCTCTTGTAGTTTATGCTTAGTCCTTTCCTCTTTAGTTTAGTTTCCTTTTCTCTTGTTGTAGTCCTTTCCTTGTTTTATCTTGTTTCTCTTTCTTGTTTCCTTTCTGTGTCGCCTATCAGCACTGTGTCGTTTGCATATCTTGTATTTTTAAGATTGTAGCCACCAATATAGGATCCTAGTAGGACTTCTAATTCTCTCAGAATTGACTTGCTGTAAAATTGAATAAATCCACTGAGAAGATGCATCCCTGTCTTACGCCCCTTTCTATTTTTGTATATCTACTGAATTCCTTTTCAGTTCATATGCCGGCCATTTGGTATAGATTCTTGATTATTCTAATGTCTTTCCCATATATGTCAAATTGTCATTTTTTTTTATTTTTTTTTTTCTTCCTCCATTTTCCTTTGGGATGATGTCGTTTGCTGATGTCCCTAAAGCTTCTCTTAGTGTGTCCCATTTCGAATTTCCATTTTCATTTCATCCCTTGTATCTTTATTTTTCACATTGTCCATATATTTTTCCTTCAGGTCCAAGTCATTCAGGAGTCTGTTGTATTGCAATTTAGGTGCTGTGTTAGGCTTTTTCAGTTTCCATAGTTTCATTCTTAGTTTATATGTAACAATGATGTGATTGCTTCTACAGTTGGCACTTGGAGAGGTTTTGCAGTGAACAACTACGTTCCTGAATCTTTTGATGGTTATATTGTTGATTTGGTTTTTAGCTTCTCCTGGGTTTCTTCATGTCCATAATTGTCTCAGATGTTCTTGGAACCAGGTATTGGCTGTTAAATGTTCATTTGTTGTGCAACATTGGACTCATTTTCTTTGCATTCATTGCAGGTTCCTAGCCCGAATTTGCCTGTGATTTCACTATCCCTCTCCTTTCCAACTTGGGCATTCAAATCTCCCATGATAATTAGAAGTTCTTGTGATTTATACTGACCTTTGGCATTGTCTAGAATGGTGTAGAAAGATTTGATATCTTCTTCTGTGCTATTGGGACATACACAATTATAATAGATAACTGTCAGTAACCCAGAACATATTTCTTCATGTCTTGATCTAGTATCAATCCAACTCCATTTTCATTTTTCTATCCATCTGTATATATAATTTTGTGGTTGTCACTGAGGCAGTCTCTGTTGAGTGGCCACCTAGTTTCACATACTCCCAGAATGCTGGTATTTAACCTATTCATCTTCTGTTTTTACATTTTCTAACTGACCATAGTTGTTTAACATTCTAGCATTCGATTTTCCAAGAGTTATTTTTATTTGATGCCAACAGTTACTGGATGATGGTCAGGCGACACCTGTTGCACATGTCGCTTCTTACCAGGTGAGGAGTTAATTCCCATAGACTTAACCTTCCCCCATGATGTTAAGTTTCATAATTTGTTTGGTAAATGCTATATTTCTTTGGATTGATATTGGAGTGTTGTCCTGTTGCCTTCTCCACAGTGATTTTATTGAGACACCACCTCTAGTTAGCTGGCCGTTGACTCATAAAGAGTTCTTCCACTCTTTGATAGGGCTTTTATAAACAAATATCTCAGATGTTTGGCAACTACTTGATAGGTGGGCATATCATTGTAAAACATAATCTGTATAGCCGGGAAATTGTCACATGATTTGATGGTAAATAGAGGCATGCTGGTTTGCCACCGTTACATATTTTTAAATAAATGTAAAGAAACAAGTATGTATAATAAAAATTATAATTATTTGTGTTTGAGTGAAGTAATATTGTATGTGCGTAATGATGCAAATTAAAATATGTGTAATTGATAATATTGTCACCTCATCATTTTGTATCATGAACTGCTTTTAAAGGGAACTCAATGCATTTATGGGTGGTATGGTAATAAATAAAATACATAATAAATTATCGGTAATTTTGAATATTATAATATTTTGATCTGTGATCGTTGGTAAAATCTGCTGAGTTTATTTTTCTAGGTATTTTTATGCAAATCCTTTTTTATGATATTGAAAAAAATATAAAAATCAAGGTAATTTTAAATGTCATGTTTATCACATTCTCTCTCTTTCTCTCTCAGATATCAAATATGTTTGAAATTGGTCCTAACAATACACATTTTTTTTCTGTTCAGTATATAAATATATCTCTTAATAAATTGAATAGTTTTATCAAATCTTGCTTGATGTGTGGTATATTTGCAAAGCTTTCAGTCTGACAGATTTAAGTCTATAGTTTTTTGTTGTTAAACACAAGCTACTTAAAATTCTTGTGTGGTATTGTGTGACATTTGAGAAATGAACGTATCAAAAGAACTGGTTATGATTTTTGCCGATGTTTTCATAACAAATTCTCTCTGGTTACCAATTGCTGAAATTATTATTTTTTTATTTTTATTTTTTTTTTAATTTCAGGGTACTGCAAAAGTTGAGAGTTCTTACCATTCCAATTCTGACAGTCCAGTGTCTGCAGGTGTCTATTCCCCAAACCCCCAAATCCAGTCACAGCAATTTCAGCCAATAACCCTGAAACCTGAGCACCAAGAAGAGAGAGATTCTGCTATAAAACCAGGTAATATATGAAATTAAAATTGAAAGTTTGCTGGAAAGTTCTCAGCTTGACCCACTTGCTAAAATCTTTCAGTTACCAAATGCCAGTGTGTGTAACTATGAGTGAGACATCTACATTGTATCTTAGTTTTTTAAAGTGTTTAGGGGTCTTCAAAAGCAACCACCCAATTTGCCAGAGGAGATTAAAATGATTGATAAATAAATGAAAACTTTTGGGAACAAGTGGCAACAGACTGGATGTTGAAGACTTCCAGGTGCAGGCTTATATTAAATCATAGTTGGGTTTGGCAGTGTGCCAGGTTTTCTGTTGAAAGATTTACCAGTTGTGTGTCATGAAGTAGAAATGGAAAGAGTTTAATTTTTTTATGTCTCTTCTTGAAACACTCTAGGCAAAGGGAAGGTTTATCATCACATTCAGCACAAAATGGATTTCCTTTTTGGGTTTTTTTTACCAGCTCCATTTTCACTCATTGTTTTCCACATTTCACACAGATATAGTGTTGGGACCCTGGGACAACAACAAAGGAAATGAGGCTTGGGTAACAATGTTAATAGACAAAACATGTCACACAAAAACTTTTACACATTGTTTTAGTTTTTCTCTTAAAATCGTTCTAGAAATATTTTTCAGGCTGTCATGGAATTAAAATGCATATGCACATGTACACAATTGGAATGAAATTGCAATGAAAATCTATGCAACAACAGCTAATTTCCTCTTGTCTGGCAACAACCCCTGAGTAATAGGAAAAGAGTATAAGCCAAAATATGCTGTCTTTCAAGGCATTTTTATTACTCCTTTATTACAGAGATATCATGTTGAAACACTAGTTCTCATACAATCAGTAATCTTAAGCAACATGGAAGCTGATCAGTATCTAGATGGGTGACCACTTGTGAATACCAGGTGCTGTAAACTTGGATGTGCAAGTGATGTAATGGAAAACGGCTTGAAATTGGAGAGTCTGGTTCCAGTTCCAGTTGGGTTCATTATGTTCACTTCTGCACAAATACCCTTGAGAAAGATATAAATTCACTTCTCCTCCCCTCAGCTATGGATTAATTAGTAAGAACTGTGTTACTAAATCATTAGTATCTGAAGAAAATGTGATAATAATGTAGGTACCTCCACTAATTTGGTATACATAAGGCTTAAAATGAATTTTTTTTTTTTAATTAAAAAGCTTTCTTGGAAAGCCAAAGGATTTAAAATTTACTATTTCTCGTAAGCAAAATACTCTATTTCAAACAGAAATTATATTGATCAGAATTATTTTTTTTATCTTTATTAAAATCAGTCAAAACTGCCATTTTTGACATATTTGTAAACAAAAGGTTAATTCTTGGTTTTTTAAAAATCTTGCCAAAATAAAACATATTTCTGAAATGTTACTTGAGAAAAATTAGCAAATTTAAAGTTAAATTAATCTGATTTGAAACAAATATTACAATAAAATGTTGTATACAAACATTTCTTCACTATGGGGTCTTGTTTTTCTGACGTGTTGATTTATTTACATCAGATTAACAGCTAAATGTTTCCATGTATGGTGAAACAGGTAATTTTTTTTTTTTGCCATAAGGCGTGGACAATCCTTAAAATATGTCACCTTTAAATGATAGATGTATCAGTTTGTACATCCATACTTCAGAAATTCTGCACATAATCACACATACAAAACCAAATCAAAATTCTTTTTAAAAATATTCAGTTTCATCAGATTGTAATAAGCTTTACAATATATAATTAGTAAATATAGTTTTACTTAATAACAATATTTCATAAGAATTGCCTCATTGAAAAGTAATTTTAAAAAAATTTAAAAACTTTATAAATTGTCCAATTTAAAATTGTAAAAAATGAAAACGAATCTTAAAAAAAAAAAAAAAAAAAAAAAATTCATTTTTCATCGGAAAAAAAAATCTTTTTCTACAGACAATATAGTCTTTAATATGTATTATTCATAAAAGCAATTAAGAACTTTTCTAATTAAATAATATCTTAGTTTTATTGCACTTTTTATTTTTTGATTCAGAATAGATTTTTAGGATGACCAGGTTCAATTTTGCAAAGGATTCTATTTTGAACTAATATAGTCACAAAAAATTATCACGTTGAATTTATCAAGTTTTCATGAAATTAAGTAAGGAGCTGAAACACATGTTTAATATATATATATATATATATATATATATATATATATATATATATAATATTAACAAAAAAATATATTACCAAAATTTTCTAACAAAAAGATCCAAAAATAATGTATTTGTGAATAAGTCCTGAAAATTTCATTAAAATCTGATAATTATTGGATTTTTGCAAGAATTTCCAAATTAATCTGTCTGCCACCATAAACAAGAGGCCAAAATTTGCTATGCTAAAAAAAGTTAGTACAATTGCTGACAGAAGAAAAACTTGGGGGTGGGGGGTAATAAAAATTTCAATGTTCTAAAAAGGAATAAAAACTTTAATTAAATAATCAAAAAATACTTTGATCCATCTTAATAATAGCACAACGATTTTGACGATAAATCTGTTTTCATTATTGTATGCTGATTTTTTTTTTTTTTTTTTTTTTCCATTTTTGTGTGGGTATCTATAATGATTTATTGATACAAGTCCTATTAATTAACCCATAGCTTGCGGGGAATAGGAAGTGGATACATACCTAATCAGAATTTAATAAACAAGAAATGTGGATATAAAGTGGAGGATAAATTATATATTACAAACAAATATATAAAGTGATCCCTCATTTAGTGGCCATGGTAGTTTCTATACATTTATATTCCAGAGAATGTAAATAAATCTAAAAGACATGCCTGTGTAGCTAATCAGTATTTCATTGATTGATTAATTCATTTTCTACTGCTTATCAACAAATGAATTATAACGTAAATATAAAGTGGGGGATCAATTCTATATTACAATCAATATATAAACTGATCCCTCACTTTGAGGCCATGGTAGTTTCTATACATTTCTATTCCAGAGAATATAAATAAATCTAAAAGACATGCCTGTGTAGCTAATCAGTATTTCATTGATTGATTAATTCATTTTCTACGGCTTATCAACAAATGAATTATAACGTAAATATAAAGTGGGGGATCAATTCTATATTACAATCAATATATAAACTGATCCCTCAGTTTGAGGCCACGGTAGTTTCTATACATTTCTATTCCAGAGAATCTAAATAAATCTAAAAGACATGCCTGTGTAGCTAATCAGTATTTCATTGATTGATTGATTCGTTTTGTATGGCTTATCAACAAACAAATTATAATGTTGGTATAAAGTGTGAGATCAATTCTACATTACAATCGATATATAAACTGATCTCTCACTTTGTGGCCAGAGTAGTTTCTATACATTTATATTCAAGAGAATGTAAAAATAAATTTAAGACATGCCTGTGTAGCTAATCAGTATTTCGTCGATTGATTTTACTACAGCTTACAAACTCTGTGGTTTATTTAAAGCCAGAAAATATTTTTTGATTTTGAGTTTGTTTTTTTTTGTTTGTTTGGAGATAATAATGGCTGTAAGCATGATGCTCTGATGTCTCGGAGCAAAAATAAACGTACGTTTGTATTTTGATATATATTTTTTTTCCTCCCAGACAAATCTAAACCGTCTGTCAATCGGCCGACATCCATTCACCGAGAAAGTCCATCAGTTTCACCAACATTTGGCCCAAGCACCTTGAAACAGAAACAAGTAAGTTTTAAGGATACTGTTACTCCCTTTTGGCCTGTCCCACAACAAATTGTCTTTTAACCTTTCCTTCCCCAACACACCCTGTTTTCCAATGTCTTTCTAGCTCCCCACCCACCTATGTATACATGTCATCCAAGCATTTTTCTACCTTCCTATGCACACACCTTTCATTCTACCTACCCATTCACTGATTCCCCTCACTCCCACATGCCCTTCTTCAGGGTGGGGGCCTCTTTTTACTTCCCTGCCACAAACACACTCTGCTTCTAAAGGTAGGAAGAGGACCAGAGCAGTGTCTGTGTATGACAGGGAGCTAAAATGAGCATGTGGTGAGGAGGCATCTGTTCCTCTTTCTATCTGCCCCCACCACACACACACACACACACACCTTGCCTCTGGGTTTCTCTCCACCTCTCCATAACATGCATCTTGTCTCCAAACTTCTTTCTACCCCACCCATCACACAAATCCTACTCTCCTCCCATCATGCACATCTTTCCTCTCTTACCCCTCCTTCACCCCAATTGTAAACATCCTGTTTCTGGGCTTCTTTCTACCCCTCCACACACTTCCTGCTTCTGGGCGTCTCTCGAGAAATCGCACGCATCCTGCTTCCGGGCGTCTCTCGAGAAATCGCACGCATCCTGCTTCCGGGCGTCTCTCGAGAACCCTCCCTCACCAAACACACATCCTCTTTCTGGGCTTCTTTCTATTCACCTTCCACACTGCGCCCCCCCCCGCAATCACACACATTCCATTTCCAGGCTTCTCTCTCTCTCACTCACGCCCTCTCTCTCTCTCACTCACTCTCCGCCCTCTCTCTCTCCCCATCCCCCTCTCTCTCTCCTCTCTCTCCCTCTCTCTCCTCCCTCCGCCCTCTCTCTCTCACTCCTCCCGCCCTCTCTCTCTCTCACCCTCACGCCCCTCTCTCTCTCCTCACCACGCCCTCTCTCTCTCTCTCCACGCCTCTCTCTCTCTCTCCTCCCGCCCTCTCTCTCTCCTCACGCCCCTCTCTCTCTCCTCCCGCCCTCTCTCTCTCTCTCTCTCGCCCTCTCTCTCTCTCTCTCTCTCGCCCTCTCTCTCTCTCCCCATCAAAAAAAATTATACACATCTTGTTGCCAGGCTTCTCTCTACCCCCAACTCCAATACACATCCTGTTATCAGGCTACTTCTCCATAACATCACTTCTGGGCTACTCTCTACACTCCACCACCCCAATACACATCCTGTTATCGGGCTTCTTTTCACTTCCACACACTTTCTCACTTCTGGGTTTCTCTCTAACACCCCCCCCCCCAATCACTCATCCTGCATCTGGGCTTTTTTTTTTATTGCCCCCACCCCACTTCCTCATCATGCACATCCTACTTCTTCCAGCCTCTTTCTATTCCAAACACCTTGCTGCCAAATGCTTTCTTAATCTGTCTTCCTTCTTCCAAATGTTTTTCTCTAAAACCACTCAATCCCTGCCACTCTGTCTGTTTTTTCTCTCTCTCTCTCTCAGTTGGTCTTCCTCCTTTCTCCAAACCAACTATTACCATTTCCCCTCCCTCATTCTCTGCTCCCCATTCCCCAAATAACTACTGTTGTCAACTAGGATTTTATCAGTAAAATGCAAATATTATTAAACAGCATCTTTAAAATGATCCAGGTTTCATTATCTGTATTTTTTTTTCCCCTCCTTCTAGAACTCTACACTCAAAAATCTGACATTGAACTCTAGTAACAATTTCCAAAGGCATGAGAACATTGCTCGACCCACCAGCATCTCCACTTCCTCCTCCTCCTGTTTGAACCAAGTGAAAATGACTGGCAAAGCCGCAGACAACACCTTTATCTTACATTGTGGCAGTGTTAATAATCATGTCCCAAAGATTGATTATCCTATTAGTAAAGGCAATAACTTGAAACCTTTTGTCAAAAAGTAAGTTGTCATTGTTTTTGTTACATTTCTTACAGTACTTGAATTGTCTTAAGTGTTGTAGTTTTTAAGTTCTATTAAAACAACATTAATAACAAACTGTTTCATCTATATATAAAATTCTGTGACTTTCGGTTGTCCGTATGTCATACCCTCTAAAATAGCCATTGACTGACTGAAACCAAATTTTGGGTGAGAATTGCAAACACATTTTTACTATCTGTCTATATTTCTGAGATGAGGTATTATGTACGCTATTTACATTATTCGGACTATTGCCCTTATCCTCATTGCCATATTTATTACAACGTTTCGGCCCTTCAGTATCTGTCTATATTTCTGAGATGAGGTTTTTATGTACAATATTTACATTATTTGGACTATTGTCCTCACCTTTGTCGCCATATTTATCACGTTGTTGTACACTCCAGCCATCTTCAGCTGGTTGTAATGTCGAACTGAAACCTTTATTTCACTCACTGGGGTAGACAGTTCTAGTTCCACATGCCATATTTAATGGATGTCAGTTATCAGTTATCTCCTGTTGATACCCCTCTTCACTGCCTTAACCGGGTATTGAACTCACACTCTTTATGTCCTGTCACTGGATCTAACCAACACTTTTATCCATTGTGCCATTTATCCTTGAGAATTGTCATTACTTTTTTGCAATTCTGCAAAAATCTTTTCCCAGTCACAAGAGAAATACGCAGTCTTGTATTATCCTGATAACATATAGCACTGTTTCTGTTAACCAATTCCAGGTGAATTTCATCATTTATTGCTTTCAATTAGTCACATTGAGAGTAATATTTGTTATAACTTGGTTGTTTGCTTCAAAATAGGTGCAAATCACTAAACAAGACTCGACCTGTGCTCGTTTGCATGTCAAGAGCATTCTTTACGACTGAGAAAAAGCAGGTGTTATATAGCACTCCCAGTTCCAGACCCCACACTGACTATTGGCTAATACCTGCCCAATATCATTTGTATGCAGGTTTTGTTAATTCACTTACTGTAAATAGAATGACCTCTCAACGACCAGCAGTGGAAGATGACGTAACTCCTGGTGCTTCCTGCAACCAAATCTGGGTCGCTTGGTGGGTTGATCCGATTCTCCGTTACACAAACACTCCATAAAATTTTTAAGGTAAAACAGTTATTATACAAGAAAATGAAAGAAAGAAAAAAACAGGTACAAATACAAAGTTTGCACAAAAACTTTCTTTTGTGCATATATTAAAGGCCGGATAACAATTTCTGATAAAAAGGATTACCATTGAAAAATGGGGGGGGGTTACAGTTTGGGAAAAGACAAGGATTCAATGACAAGGATTCAATGACAAAAAGAGAAAACAATTCAAGAAAACAGATAAACAAAGGAGGCAACAACCTTTCAGAAAAAAAAAACAAAAAAAAACACTTACTTGCTCGACAGTCATCTCAGGAGACATATAGTAATTTTAGAAAAGTTCTTTTTAAATTAACCCTATTTGTGTTTGGGAAAATATCTTTTCATACTTTGTTGTATAACTGAACTTCTAGGTTCTCTGCAGCTGGCTGGTAACTGGTACCACTTTTGATGTTCTCTTGATGTCAAATGCTATTTTGCTCCTTGATGTTGATTTGCTTTGTCTCCTTGCTTTCAAAATGTCTTCTCTCCTTGCTTTCAAAATGTCTTCTCTCCTCATCCACTGACTTGAATTCTATTTATTTGAAAAAAGTGATTCACAGAAGATTCCATCCAAGTTTTAACAAGGGCTTGAGATCATGGCACTCATTTGCCACAAAATACAAAAAGACAATTTTCTATAAACTAGAAATTGATCCTTAAAATTTTGGAGGTTTTTAACCACCGAGTTGAAAAAGATATAGTGTTAACAGATTTTTTTTTTTTTTTCATAAACTATCTGGCCTTCATAAAAATATACGTCTCTCAAAAGAACATGTACTAAAAAAAAACCTAGACAAACCTTTATTAAGTAATAAAAATAAAATGTTTATAAATTCTCAATAATAATAATAATATATTAATTAATATATTAATGTAATATTAATTAATAAATGGTAGGAAAAAGGCAGTGTGGAATAATGAGACAAAACAATTTATAATGCAAGTCAAAAACAAAACAAAAGGGATACAGTCAAGTAGTTATAGTTTAAGGCAGGAAGAAAAAATGAGCATATAAGTTCATTTTCTAGTGTTGAGGATGAAATGATGTGGCTAATGAAGAAGTCTAAATGTTTCTTCTTTACCTCACCATGCCACACAAGCAGGAGAACTTCTGCGACCACATTACCCCTTACATATGGCCACCTAATTCCCCTGACTTGCATCCCCGTTGATTATTATATGTTGGGTGAGAACCAACAAAACAAGGATTATGGCAGCATTCACCAACTTAAACAAGGAGAACATCCAGAAAAGTTGCAGAAGATTCCGGAGTCATCTGGAGGCCATGATTGAAGCCATTGGCAATTTTATTGAATAAATTTACTCTTTAGTATTTCAAGATATTTTTGTGTAATTTTGGTCTGTTAAAATGAGATGTTATTTTCATTCAAGTGTAATTTAGCAGACAATTTATCCATCTCATATATATATATATATATATATATATATATATATATATATATATAAAATTGATGCATGTTTCATTAAATAATATAGACAAGTTGTCTATTTATTTTAAGTAAGTTCCTTTCATATTGTCTGATAAGCTTAATAACATTATCATTGAAAACACAACTATACTTAAACATGAAAACAATAAACAAAAACTAAAAATTCTTGAAGCTATATACATAAAACAGTTGAAACCTTACCTGAACAAAATAAACTATGAAATCTCCACAAATATTCTTAAATGCCTATAATTGATAACAGAAGCCATTGGTTTATACCAAAGGCTTCCCATACTTAATACTTCTCGTTTTCACTCTCGCGTGGTCATGTGTGATGTCACGAGCTGCGATGTGATTTTCGTTTCCGCATCTCGTATACACTAGTTAGTCGTTGCTTGGAAATTTTTCATGCAACAAAAACAGACTATCATTATTGTTTCGTCTGTGTATTGTTTGATATATTGAAATGTAATTGTCATCTTTGATAATGGCTTAGATGGGATTAAAACATGTATCTATATGGTGATTTCCTTTCGTCTTTCAATGATAATGTTATTAAGCTTATCAGGCAATATGAAAGGAACTTACTTAAAATAAATAGACAAAACTTGTCTATATTATTTAATGAAACATGCATCAATGAAAAATTGCTGCCTAAATATATAAAATTACTGATAAGATATATTCAAATTTCCCCATTGCTGGCAGAACTTCTGTTATCACAGTGTGGGATATCAGCTAACAAAAGTGATGGACAGGAATAGAATCTATATGGAATTGGCTAGATCAGAAAAAAAAAACAAAAAAAACCACATTTATCTACGCGCGTATTCCAACTTTCCCTCCTCATTCATTATTATTAATGTGTTTTCATTGTGTCCTTGTTTGTTTGTTTGTTTTTGTGTGTTTTATATATATATATATATATATATATATATATACATACACACACCCAAAAATAAAATGACTGATAAGATATATCCAAAGTATGTTTTGTAACTTAGGAAAGGTTCCTGAATAATCACATGAAGGTTGGTAATGAATGATAATACTTAGGACAAGAATAATGCATATAAGATTCGCCAGCAGTGCGTTGAAGTAGTAGTCAACTGCTAGAAGTGAGTCAGGTGAATTCCACAATGAATCCTCAACTGTAGACCAACATACAGTATACATTTATGTGAATGGGAACATACCCATTATTATCCGTAGATATGCTACAACACTATGTAAGATGAATATGTGAAAAGCAGTTGGATGCTTAAATTTTTTATTGTTGCTAACATTTTCTTCAATATATATTTTTCTGAAAATCTATACTTTTATTAAAGTGAAACTTGTTAAATTCATAAATGTTTCACATTTGTTTATCATTCTGTCGAATTCCAATCGATATTTGATCCCAATTCATATATACCTAGAAGTTGGATTTAATGTCTTATTGACAGTTTTCTTTTTTTTTTTTTTTTCAGTCTGCATCTTATTTTTAATATTTATTGTTTTCAGAGCTGTGTTTATAATTTTTTTTTTTTTTTTTCTCAGGGTGCAGTTAACAGATGATTATGCAATTCATGTCTTCAATTTCAATGGTACAGCATGTATATCGAGCTGTGATCTCTCGGCATTTTTATGGAAAATTGACATTGTTAGAACAATGGTAAAAAATTTTTTTTTTCTTTATTCTTTCCCTTTCTTAATTAGGATTGCTGCCTAAATACACACACATATATATATATATATATATATATATATATATATATATATATATATATATATATATAATTATTTATTTAAAAATATGATTCCAACACTACTTAAGAGCTGAAAACTTCAATATAATTATTTGATTTAAATTGAATTAAAGTACCAAGCTCTGTTCCATCTTCAAGCAAAATTTTTTTTTGGAATAACCAATTCCTGAAATTTACGCGTTTTATAAGCATATTCATTAGTGAAATTAAAATTACTATGGTAATGGCTAGAGCAATTATTTAAAAAAAAGGGCGTAAGGGTTAATAATTTGTATCAATATTTCAAAATTTCAGGAATTAGTTATTCCCAAAAAAATTTCGCTTGAAGATGGAACAGAGCTTGGTACTTTAATTCAAATAATTATATTGAAGTTTTTGGTTTTTGTTTTAAATAAATAATTATTTACCTAATGAGTTCTTCCTATTTTCTATATATTTTTATATACACACACACACACACACACACACATATATATATATATATATATATATATATATATATATATATATATATATATACACACACACGTGCACCTAGATATACCCAGTTTCTGATCTTGTTGCCACTTGATCTCCAAAATTCTGTGCCCCCCTCAAAAAAAAATAAACAAAAAATCTAAAAAAAAACTTAGTAAATAATAAATAAACTGTAAATGAACATATTAACACAAGTAATAATAATAAATAATGCTTAATAAATTAACAAACACTATAAAATAGCTAGATATAGCCACATTCAGATCCATAATTATTTCTACAGAATATCCTCAAGAATAATTTGAAATCTGACCATTACTGCCCACCCAATAACCGTCAAGGATAATACAATGGACCTTATTACTCACAATGCACCACTGACAAGCATATATAAATAGTTGAGCCAAAACACCTGACCTGAAGATTGCATTGAACATGAAACAACCAGTGACCATTTGGTGGTGACCTCAGTGTCTACTTTTATATTCACATACGTTATATCTCTGATATGGAGCACTTTTGGCCATAAATATAGAATACTTCAAAACTATATTTTTTCACACACACACATATATATATATATATATATATATATATATATATATATATATATATATATATACTTTGTCTATTTCATAATGTATGACATCATTTATTTACATTTGGATACGCATTGAGAAGATATGAAGGTATGTGAGAGAATCATGGAAGATTGTCATTTAAAACGGCAAAATCGACTTTGCTAACTGAACGCTCCTCTGTGGCGAAATCGGTAAAAGCATGTCAGGCTATATGACGGTTCTGTGTAGGATACAGGTTCGATTCCTGTCGGAGGACACATATTTTCTATGACAATTTCTTGGACATTCAGACAGGTAAATGTTGTTAATACTGTTTATTATAAAACAGAGCATTTACTTAAATATTTGTATCTATAAAAAGAATGTATAAACATAAAAATGTCTTAAAAATATATATATATATATATATATATATATATATAACACAACACAGATGGCCCAAAGATTGTTTGTTTTGAAGCATGAAACAGACTGTCGCTGCTTGGTGTTGACCTCAGTATCCAAATATATATATATATATATATATATATATATATATATATATATATATGAGAAAGAGCTTTTTTTAAGTGACTGTGCCTTGAAAAGTTGAAATACAATCTGTCCATTTTGGATCCCTGACTTTTCTGTGGTCTTACTTTCCATTAATGTAGTTACTCACAGTCAAATACAGAAATAAAAATACTTAAGTTTGATCTAATAAGAGCTTCAAATATCAAGAAGACTGATGCTAGCATTATCATATAAGCTATAAAGGACTTCATTCAAATGAAACGGTGTAAGATTTCGACTTACTAATTAAAGAAAAACCATATGTATAGGTTACAGATTTACTCTAAGTACAAATCTTCTGTCATCATATAACTTTTATCACAGTATAATTTTATTGTTAGTTAATCTTGTAAATATTCAAGCAAGCTTAGGAGTAACCTAATGATCACCAGATGTTGCATTTCAATCCTTGATCTCCATGTTCAACAAAAGCTGGGAAAGAGTGTACTGCAAGCATGAAAGAAACGCTACATCTATGAATGCAAAACTTGTTTCCCATATTATATGTAGATGATTTTGCCTGCATGTCCGGGTAGGTCAGGAGGTGATACGTGGGGACAACTTCTGCTAAGTCAACTCTTCCCCCACCTTCCAGCTACTGACCCATCTCCTCTTCCCATACATAGTAGCTGGCTATACAAAATAGAGGCTTTGGAACTGTAACACAGGCACAACAGTCAAGGTTTGACCAAAACTTTTCTCAATCCAAAGCATGACTGTTCATATAGACCAGCACCTGGATATAACCTATTTCCTGTTTTGTTGCCACTTGATCCCCAAAAATCTCTTTATTTTTCATTCTACCTCGGTTAAAGTGGATGCCACATAGAAGACTGAACTTCAAAAGGACTCCCCTACTGATGTACTAAATGGAAACACTCGAGAATGAGATTAGATCACCTCTTCACTTTCTATGTGGGTGTTCGAGATTTACCTTAACCAACTACCAGTGAGTTAGATTGTGACACAAGGTCAGTTTTTAACACAGGGACCTGAGTGCTTCCACTCGGGCTGCTGGTTTAAGCTGGTCATAGGTGGTCATACCACCACTACATAAAATATGCTACCCAATGATGGCGGAATGCAAGGGAGGAGAGAAAGCCTCCAGTACGGAACAGATACTACAACTGTAGCATCTACTCTGACTGGAAAAACCCCCTTCTCCTCCTCAGCCACTCCATCTGGATGAATCTGAGAGGAAAGCCCCCTTCTGTGTGGTTGTCTGTAGTATCATAATCTCTTATTGTACATAATTTACAAATTAAACTGTAATATGGGGAAAAAAAAAAAAATTTGAACTTTTTTTTTTTTTTTTTTTTTTTTTTAAATCAAGCGAGGTAGTAAAGTCACTGAGACATAAGGGGTTTACTGGGTGTGGAAGAGTTAAAAATAGCAACATTACTAAGGAGCGAGAAAAAAAAGTGTGATCAGGGGACAGTAGATAGCAATTGACATATCAAAGTTGGCTGGAAAGCATGAAGCCAGAAGGGAGTTCCACAAGCGAGAAGTGCAAGAAAAGAAACTGTTAGCATAGAACTTGCAGTTACATTTAGCCAGCTCAATTGTAAATTGATGAGATCTTGCCACCAGTCTAGTACTGTGCTTAAATCCAAAGAGTTTAGACACCATAGTGAAAAGTTCATCTGAACAATTACCATGAAAGTGTTTATAGAAAAGGCACAGGATATATATGCCAAGTATCTGCTTGGGGTGGTGGGTCTTGAAACATGTCCCCAGATCTATAAAGGGAAACAATTGTAAAAGTACATTACTTTTTAAATAAAATTCCTTTTGCTCTTATAATATTTATTTTAAAAATCTGAGTTTTCTGTTTCAGTTACGGACAGTTAATCTTGGAATCTCTAAGGTGATAATTTGTGAAGAGGATTATTCAGAGCTCTTCTCAGAGTTAAAACGGTAAGAGGCACTTGCAAAAGAATATTTGTTAAAAATGTCTTATCATTTAAAGTAACCAAAGAAAGGCTTGTTCGTTCACATTGGCTTGATGATCCTGACCATGGTCAAATAATGATGACTTATCTCATGATTGGTCATTTATTTGAATTCAAATAAAAGCCAAGCTTACTTGCTTCTATCCTCTAATCCTGTTATGTGCAGTTGTTATGAGACAATAGCTGTCATTCTTTTTGTGTGCATGCATGTGTTTGTGTGTGCATGTGCATGTGTGTGTGTGTGTGTATATATATATATATATATATATATATATATATATATATATATATATATATGTGTGTGTGTATATATATACACACACACACACGAACATTGGGTCACAAACTCCTCTTATCATGAACAAATCAGTTCATGAAAAATTTTCTGGAGAAAAATATCTTGGAGGAACACAAGCTGCCAACAATGTGGAGGTGGGGGGGGCGTGACAGACTACAAGTATCAGTGAGAGAGTGTCAGTTGTGGTGTAGCTTTTGCTCCATACACATACCTGCTCGAATTCTATGTGCCTTCTCTTGATTTGTATGCTTTTTTTTTTTTTTTTTTTTGTTTGTTTGTTTTTTTTAATAAAGTGACCAATTGTGATTGCTTGACCAGATTCTCACATGACAATTCTACAAAACCTCATTTTGAAATGGGCATCCTAGAAAAAGAACTTGGTGGTTGTAACATGCTGAATAATAAGGTATTGCTTCCAGCTATCCAGTTCCAAAGGAGAAGTTACCTGAGGATGAACACAGTACAAATATCTTACATTGATAAAACATCTAAGAAGAAGAATTGTATGAAGAAGCACTAAGAATTAAGTAAAATATCCTCACATTAATTTCTCTGTTTTGGTGATGTGAATTTTTAATCATCAGCCTTGCCATGTGGCAGAAGCCGCATCTGTCATCCAGCTTTGTCATGTGGCAGATGATGTACAATGCCCCCAGTGTTGAAATGCCATGTGGCAGGGGCTGCACCTGTTTCACAACATTTCTTTGCCATTGCTCTATCATGGCATGTATTGTAGTTGGGATGTTTAGTTTTAATTTTGCTTATGTTATCAGACTTTAGTGTTGGATGAGTCTTATAAAATAAGTAGCATTTATTTATTCATTTAGTTATTTCATCGATGCTGATTACATTTTATTTAATTTTTTATTTTATCATTTAGGATCAATTTCAGTGGACTGTGGGATGGCGAGGAACGTAAGGACTGGGTCACTCTTTTCCAGCTTGAAGAGTAAGCAAATCACTTTCTCATGCCTTTCCATCACATGTCTGTAAATCTGTGTCAAAGTCTTGTGCTTAGTATACCACAATGGTTAGAAAAAAAAACTACCAGAACTTGGACAAACTATTCTCTTGTAAAAAGCTTCTACAACTATTAGTCTTGAAGAAGAATTATGTTCCCACGCAAAAGGGATACAGTCAAATGATTATAGTATTCTGACTTCAAGACAGCAAAGAACAAAAATATAGCAGATGAAACCAAGAAGTGGTTTATTTTATTGGTTAGGAAGAAATCTCAGCTTGCATCTGTATGATTTGTCTATAAATTTGGGGAGATATGTTTTTATCGGGTGCAGAATTAATTTCACTTGGAACTATTTAAACAAAATTAAAATATGGTCTGGTGCTCCTGTAATATATTTCGAGATTCTTGAAAAAAAACCCAAAGAATCTGCAATGGTTTTTTTCCTTATAAAATCAAAAACTTGACACGATATACCTGTATGTCGACCGAAAGATGTTTTTTGAATATCTGCTATTATTGACGGTTGTGTAAGATCTCGGAACGTGCAAAGACGCAACGCTAAGTTTTTCAAAATTTTTTGAGTGAGAATTTTATTTAAATATTTCTTGTGATGTTACACAACCGTCAATAATAGCAGATATTCAAAAAAACATCTTTCGGTCGACATACAGGTATATCGTCTCAAGTTTTTGATTTTATAAGGAAAAAAAAACACATGCCTGATGATGGATAGAAGACTATCCGTAAGTACTAGCATTTTAACATCAACTAAACTGAAAAACTACAGACAACAAGTTTTTCGTCAAGGATCAAAACTCGCACTATGGATGAACAGGATTTTAATGCATATATTATGTTTTCTAGCGATGGATGTCACCAATAATAGCATTAATACTTCTGATTAATTCTATGTGTGATTATTCTTTGTATGTAAATCATATGCTGCCTAATGTTTTATGTTTATATAACTAAATTGGTCATTAAATGACCTACAGTGGTTGATATGCCATAAAACCCGACCAACCCAATTGAAGTCTCAAGTGCCACTCAAGGTAGAGTGGTAGTGAATGAGATTGTTATAAGAGAGATAGAAGGAAGTAAGAAATTATGAAGATGAGTAGGTGTTGTGTAGAAAGACAATCTACCTTCTCTACACTAAATTATTGAACAATTACTCATCCTCTCATTATGAGTAAGAACATTCCTTCATAGAAGCAGGGTCACAAAGTGGATCATAATGTTGAGTGCTATGCATTGCCACACAGAACTACAATATTTACTATATTATTAATCCACGTCTCTCGCATGATTAACCCTTCTCTAATCTTTTGTTCCAGTGTTTTCTTTACAATATTATGAATCAAAACTACAAGCTTTATAATAATAGGATAGATATTGTTTGACCCTGGACTTAGACATCAGGATTGTAGTTGTCAGGAAAGCATTTTGTTGGGAGTATGTTCCACAAAGTAACAGTTCTGAGTAAGAAGCTGTCTGAGTGGAACTTCCTTTTTAGCAAAGGAACAAAAAGGGAAATGGAAATTGTTTGCTAACATGAACATCTGAGAATCTGTTAAAAGCTGCCTACTTTCTTTGAGAAAGCATAATATACTAAAGTGAACTCATGTGAACTGCAACCAAAGCAAATTTATGATTGATAGAGAAGTAAATCTTGGAAATCAATCTGGAAATTATCCAGCCATTTTGAAAATCATTACTGCTTCCTTCATTGTTTATGCAAAGTTTTGATGACATGCTGCATCACCCAATTCAAATTTGGCTCCCTCTCTCTTGCTTAACTTTTCCCGGTGTTAAATCCTTGTTGAAAAGACCATGGGTAAAATTAAGAGTATAATGAGGTAACTGATGCTGACTGAGAAGTGGAAGAGATCTTAGGATATGTGTATAAAGCAGGATTACTAGATTAGATCACACGTTATTAATTGGGCAATATTTGAAAGCCCAACACTACTAAATTTTGATTTTTCATAAGTTTGCCTGGCTTACTTTTAAAAGTAGCCTCAAAATTTTCCTGTAGTGAAATTTCAAATTTAGAAACACAAAATAGTACAATCAATCAAACTGAGCGTGAGTTTCCAGGGTTAGTATTTTTAAGTGGATTAAAGTGCCATTACCCTAGGCAGGCTACATTTTAATCAATATTAAATGACTGGATCATTTCTGGACATACCACAATTAAAATTTGTCTAATATGGCAGGAATTTCTGTTTGTATTTTGTATGTGCATGCACATATTGGATGATGCCAGATGAAATGTTTTTCTTTGTAGTGTCCCAGTTGTTTTGGAAACCTTCAACCATCCATCAGCAGAATTGAAGCTGGCAGTCCAGTTGGCCATCAGAAATTTTGATCCAAATGATGAATTTTGGCGGGTAGGTGAAATTACCTTTCTTTTTTTTTAATCTTACACAGACACACGCACATATATATATATATATATATATATATATATATATAAAATGCCAATGTCAGTGTGTCAAGTTTTTCAGTTGAAGGGACACAACTCACTAACTTTCAATAGCTCATCTTACAGAAATTTTGGATTCCCAAATTTTCATTACTTTGAAATAAATTTGGGAATAATCAAATTTTTTAATTGCGAAATCCAGCAAAATTCACCCATAAATGAAAATAATTGGTTGTATGGAAAATAAGGCCCTATGCACATTAAATTGTCTTTAAATTAAGTGGCGGCAGAAGAACTTTTAAAAGTAAGTTTAAATATTAATGCAATACTTAAATACAGTGATCATGTGTCACAAAAAGAAATCTTATTTCAACAAACCAAGCTGTAAAGAGGAAATATATATATATATATATATATATATATAATAATGTATTGTCTACAGTTTCTGACATCCATAGGTTCTTGGAACATTGACATGAGTCTTAAAATATAAAAACAATTGGGAAAACTTGGACCTTCATGCCTGCAAAAAAACAGTGGCAAAAGATTATTTTTTCCATTGGCACCTCTATTATTTTAACTAAATATGTATTATCCTGTTTTTTTCCTTGTAAAAAAAAAAAAAACAGGATTCTCTAGAAAGAAACAAAAACCATAAATTTTCTAGAAAGAAAAAAAAACATATATATGTATATATGTACAAACAATGTATTAACAATAAAAGTGTTACAAATGATATATATATATATATATATATATATATATATACAGATATGTACAAACAAAAATAATGTATTAGTAATAAAAGTGTTACAAATGACAGACAAAATGTGTGTGTAACAAATGAATGCGGAAACTATTTGATGTGAAGTGTGTGTGTGTGTGTATATATATATATATATATATATATATATATATATATATATTATTTTCTTTATTTTTCTTTGTGGACTCGCATACCGCATCTGCCATGTTGGTTGTGGGTATTTCCGGAGACATATGTTTATCTCTCAACACATACACCAGCCTGCAACAAGGCATTGAAAGATATTTTCTGAAAGCTAAACAATTTTAAAAACAGAAATATTTCGTTAAAAATAAAGAAAAAAGTGCCATTATGGCAGGACAGTTTCCTTATGAATGAAAAAGGAAACAGGTATGTTACTGTGGAAGGAAGCCGAGAATGCAATGTGATCAACTACAAAGATTTAAGAAAAATGAAAACGAAAAGAATGCTTAAGAGGCACTTAAACATTTTCTGGATCATATGAGGAAAACGGACTTTGAGAATTGAACACATTTTGGTGGCAAAGGAAGTTAAGCATGACATCAGCAAGCAACCAAAAAGAACATAAGAGTTAAGAATTAAAGTTCTAATTTTAGGAATACCTCATGGGACAATAGCCTAGTGGATTAAAGTCTGGTTGTGGGCATTTCAGGAGACACATGTGTTTCTCTCTCAACACATACACCGGCCCACAACAGATTTATCCAATTTAAGGGACACACAGTCCACATTATTTTTTTTAAATCAAGGTTTTATTGTATTCTTGTCTGTTTATACACCACAGTCTTTTTTATTGCATCCAACACTTTTCTTGGATAAACATTTGTCACCCGACTTAAAAAAAAAACTACAAAACGTAAAGTACTTTGACTAATTCATGTTATTAAAGTATTTTTATTTTATGTTACATTCCACAGGGTAAATGTAAAGAAACTCCCATCGAAAATACTACCCAGAGCACCCAACCACTTTGCAAACAATCCTCCCCAAAGCCAATCCCCAGCAGAAGCATATCACAGAAGAAGTCACCCACAGTATACAGTGAACAAACAGGCCTAAGCTCATCAGCCTCTCCACCTCAGTTTCACTTTGGCAAGGGTTCTCCGTCTCATAGAAACGAACTAAGGACAAGTTCAGCAGAAAGTTCACCTCGTTCAAGACGGCCAAGCACAGTCACCCTAGAGGATATCAAGACTATCAATGCAAATTTAACCCATTTGCACAAATTAAGGTAAGAATAACTTCCTTGTTGGATGAAGGAATACTGTAAACAGATGGTGCCATATTTGCATGTGGAGATTGCAGCTTCTTTGATTTTACAAGTTGTGCACCAGAAGTTTTGAAACTATTTTTCAGAAGAAACATTTATCAATTTCAAAACTCTAATCTCCTTTAAAATATGATCACAACTAACCTATAACATTCTCTGCTAGAAATGCTAATATGATGTTCATTCAAATTCATCTAATTTTCTGAAAAAATATAACCGGTTTTCGGTTGACCAGAGAATAGTACCAATAAGTTATTCGCAATTTGTTTCCTTGTACAAAAATGGGGGAACTTACATTAAGAAGTATTTCATCTTCATCAGATTTAATAATACATGTATAAATGAAAAATTGCATCTCCTTCTTCTATCATATATATATATATATATATATATATATATATATATATATATATATATATATATATATATAATATTAGTGGTCAATATATATAAATAAATTTTTAAGAGGATAGAATCCAGGTAGAACTCAATGTCCAGGACAGAGTAATCATATAATAAAAAAGCTCAAACACTAATATTCCATGGTTATAATTTATTACATTGGAATAGTAATCACAATCCAATTCATCAGAATAGGAGTTGACATGCCGTTAAATCCAACATCCATCCATCCAATTCATCAGACCTACAAATTCAAAAAGAAATCAAAAAATATAACTCTGGGTATAAAAAACAAAATTTTAGTGGGAGTGTATGTGTGGGAGTGGGAAACAAGTGTGAGAGGGAAATGTATGAAAGCTCTAGAGAGAGGGTGTAACAGAAGAAAGAAGAACAGGAAGGCCTAAAGGTGAACATGGGAATTAAAATTTAAGAGAGTGAAGTTTTAAAGAGAGGAGTTAAATAACGGTTTAAATGAGTGAGATACAGATAAATATGAATTATTTTTCGATGCATCATTCGCTACCAAATCGCTGACCTACATTAAAATTAAAAAAACAGACACCAGAAACATGTGTATACATTTGTGGTGACATTACACACAATAAAAAAGAAAAACTATATGATCTAAACTTAAAAACCAGAAGATGAGAAAAAGAGAGGAGAAAAAAAAAAAAAAAAAAGAATATGATGGAGAGGGGTGCAAACTAAAAATGAAGGGTATTTATAAGAGAGCCAATGTGTAATAAAGAAAATTTGACAAAGCAAGTAATATCACCTACAGGTTAGAAATTTAACAGAAACATATAAAATCTAACTAATATTTAATCTAGTAAGGACCTATTATTTATATGCCCAAAAACACATACGTAGATACAGACATACACAACAACATATCTACTCACGCATACATACATATGCGTGTGCATATATATATATATATATACTCATGCATACATATACACTTAAATATAGACATAAACATATGTGCACAAAACCTTATGCACATCCATACATATACATCATATCTATCTATACATATGCACACACACACACACATATATATATATATAAATATATAATATATATATATATATATATATATATATATATATATATACGAGGGTCATTCAATAAATAAGGTGAATTTTTTTCAGTATAAGGACTTCTAATACAGATAGAAGCTTATTTTTTTTTTTTTTTTTTTTTTTTCAACGTAGTCTCCCAGCACTGTCACACCCTTTTTCCCATTTGTGCACAAGCTTCTGTAATCCCTCAGCGTAAAAATCTTTGGACTGATGTCTCAGCCAGTCGCTCACCACACTTTTGACTTCATTGTCACTTTTAAACTTTGTACCTCTCGTGAACGCTTTCAAGGGACCAAACAGGTGAAAGTCTGAAGGGGGATGAGGGAGCAGTTCCCAGGCCAGCTCGTTGATGGTCTGCACCGTTTGGGCTGCTGTGTGAGGCCTTGCGTTGTCATGATGCAAGATGACTCCTTCTGACTGATGACCCCTGCGTTTGTTCTTTGTCTTTCTTGACCTGCCTCAGCAGTTCACAGTAGTAGTTCTGTCAGACTGAATAAGGTCATTGACTGATTCAATCACCTCAGGAGACCTCACTTCTGTAGGCCTCCCAGGCCTATCTTCATCCTCAACACTGTTCCGTCCTTCTTTAAACAATTTAGCCCACTTGTAGACATTTTTTTGTCTGAAACATGTGGCACCATACACAGTTGACATTCTCCTATGAATTTCAACTGGTTTGCACCCTTCAGCAACCAAAAACTTGATAACTGACCGCTGTTCAATCCTGGAGCATGCTTCTTGGTCGGCCATCTTTGTTAATGGCCAAAACTCTCAAAGTTTTTTTTAATATGCAAAAGAAATTAAATCCATGTGAAAAAGAAGTAAAACAAAAAAAAAAAAAAAAGTAATCTTCTATCTGTATTAGAAGTCCTTATCCCGAAAAATTCACCTTATTTATTGAATGACCCTGATATATATATATATATATATATATATATATAAAAAGGTAAAAAAACACATCCATCCATCCATACATGCATTTTAACATATAAAAATAGATGGTTAGAATTAAACTAATTTGTACTTAAAAAACTACTGAGGAAGAAAATGTTAATAATATTAAAAACCCATGGAGTGATTAACACGTATATATCTCTTAAGTTTACATATATACCTAGGTATATAAAAATATATACCTTGAGTTTACCTATATACAGGCAGATTCATGGCTAGAGCTTTTTTTTTGTTTTTTTTGTTTTTTTTTCTAAGCCATGTTTTAATGAAAGGAGTGGCATCCCATAAATCTCAAGTGATACCAATAAGATTACTTGTCATCAAGTTTGTTGCATTTCCACTGTAAGGTGGTTTCTTTTATCTGAGTATATAATATTTATTCTTGAAAAGCCTCTTTCTGTCTCAGAAGAACTGATAGCAAATGTATTGATAATAGTTTTCACTTTTTGTGCTCTTTGAAGAATTACAGAATTATGAAATTTTATTTTATTTTTTTTTTTTCAGGACATTTTTCACATAGTCACAAATCATTAATGGGAAATTTTACTGAAGCCATTTAGGTTTTCTTCCATGGCTTTCCAGGTTTCTTGCTCTATCATGTTCAGCAGTTCATGAAATTTATATTAACCTGTATTCAGTCTCCTGAATTAATATCCTCAACCGATTATGTGACTACAATTTATAGACAGTCTAAAATTGGCAGTTTGTTTGTTCGTGTTGCAACTAGCAACGGGTTTAAGCTCACAAAATTCCAAAACAGGTTTGTGCAAACCCATTGAATCCCACCACTGTGGACATCCCATAACTATGTAAACCTTCCAACTATAAAGTACAAACCTTTGGTCATTCCAACTCTGCACAAGGCTGATTTGAGCTTGACCATTAATACAATGCTTATATTTACATACCCTAACTGCTGGACAACAAGAAAAATGGACACACTCAAGAGATATTAAGATCTTTGGTTCATGACAAGTTATATATAAAAAGAGAACAAGTGATTCATGGTAGAAATGAAAGTTTTTGTAAGTTTCTTTGTTTATCATATGTGAATACACATCACCTAAACTGCACAAAAATGCAACCTGTTAAATTCCATTGTTCAAAATTTGCTCTATTTATGCAGAAAAAAAATACTCTATCGGCATTAACTGTTTGAAGATATAACCAGTATGGATATAAAAATCGACACTGCATTGTGACAGGCAAATTCATGGCTAGAGCATTTGATGGTCTGATGATCACTCAGTGTGAAACTGATACTCACCTTACAGTGTTGATTTCTATGTCCACACTGGTTATGCATACAAATTTTATGATTTTATTGTGAAACGTATATTAAAAAAATCTACCAAAGGAGATAAAAACCAGAAATCAATTATATTGATAATTTGGCAGATGCCTTTTCTTCTGTGTTGTAGATAAAAAATTCTGCGTAGTTTGTCAGTGGTAACAAGTTTGAGTCCTGGTTTTGGAGCCAAACAAACAACATTACTGATAATTGTTTTTCGTTTTTCATTTCGTTTTAGACAATGTATATTGAACAAAATGGAGAAAGCCAATTGTCCCTACGAAAATTATGCTGCGACATTGGCGAGTGTTGAAAGCAAACTGCAGAAATTAAATGCCTTGCTTATAAAAGCCAGCCCAACAGTGGAGAACAAAGATCCACCAGGTCAAGGTAAGAATGCCTCCTGACATAAAAGTTTCATTTCTGTTTTCTACTTTTCCTTCAGTAGGACATATTGATCTAGGCCAGTTGATATTAATTTCTATGTTTAAGAAAAAAAGAAAAAAAAAACAAGAATAGGAACTTGAACACATATATATGGAATCATTAGAGGGAATGAAAGTTTGGATGGATTTGTTTCATAAATCCTAGCCATAATATTCCTGGTAATTTAAAGTTTTAATTAATCTTTGTTATTTATTATTCCAGTTTAACTTTCTCAATTTTTTTTAATGGCAATTAAACATTCTCTTTTTCCTATCAATCTAAATTGCTGATTTTTTTATTTTATTTATTTATTTATTTTTTCTGTTTAGGAAGACTCCTTTCACCATATCAACAGAATTCTAGCAATGCACGACGGACTCCTTCTCCCGCAGGAAATCTTGGATTTTCTCCAAGAGATACAAGATCGGCCTTTCAGTCACCAAGTCCATCACCGGTAAATCTTGATTTTTCTTTGATAATTTGTTGAATTCTTTGAATTAATTCTTTAAATTCCTAACCCGTATTAATGCAAAAGAGTCATGACCTTTTTTTTTAACCTTGTGTGTAAAAACTTATAGGAAGAAGGTGGAATAAAGCAGAGCCTGAAATTCAATTTAAAATGAGAGAAATATTCTTCAGAAGAAATGTTGGGATATGTAGTTCTTTAAATTTGTCTGACACAAGTTCATTGTATTTTCAAACAACAAACTGTACGAAGATAGCCAGACTGGTAAATAGAGAACCATTACCTAGTCAAAGACAGGACGTAGTGCTAAGCAGCGTCCAAATTGGACACATGTAAATAGTTACTCAATTTGGAATATGTTTCCAAACAACAAACTGTACGAAGATCAGTTAAGTCAGATTGTCTAATAGAGAACAATTACTTTGTCATAAACAGGACATAGTGCTAAGCAGATTCTGAATTGGACACACGCAAATAGTTACTCAAAGCAGAAATGGCTTCTCTCTGCTTCTGTGATCAATTTCTCACTGTCATGTATGTCATAATAGATGGCAAAGAATATAAGAAAATGCGCCAAAAATACTATGATGTACCAAACCATACTGTTATGGTCAAAAATGTATCTGAAGTAATAGACTACCTGAAAAAAAAAAAATGAACCATTTCAAACACTTATATAAAAAAAGTCTAAAATACTAATTGACCCCAAAATACCTAAACATAAAAAGGAAAAGTACTTTCAGAATTCTACTAAAAATCTTGCACAATTGTTCCTTCAATGACTGTTCCACAATGCACTTTATTTGGCATAAAATGGCCTACAAGATTGGTGTGCTGTAAAATAAAAATTTAATTCAATCCAATCATTGAAGGTGAGAGTTTAACGTATCAGAATAAAAACAAAAAAACATCTGACCAACAAACATTAAAATTGGGTGTTAAAAAAAATGTTTATAAAATGTATTTGAAATTATCTCATGTAAGGAGTCTTTACTAAATAGCAAAGTCAAAAGTAAAAGGAAAAAAAATTCTACATTTATAGAAGCAAATGTAATTGAAAATCAACATGGACCTTGTGAGGAAATAGGATTTCCCAGAATTAAGCATGTGACCAATATTTAGTAAATTTAATATTTTGAAATTGTATAAAATTTTCTCATTACTGAAAAGAAATTTTCCCAATCTTTCTAAAGTAATATTCTTCTGCCCATAGAATAGAGGATCATAGCTCTCCACAGCTTCTTATCTGAGAATTACAACAACTTAATGGGGAAAAATATTGTCTGGACAGTGAGAGATAGATATATATATATAGACTACCTGAAAAAAAAAAAATGAACCACTTCAAACACTTATATAAAAAAAAGTCCAAAATACTAGTTGACCCCAAAATACCTAAATATAAAAAGGAAAAGTACTTTCAGAATTCTACTAAAAATCTTGCACAATTGTTCCTTCAATGACTGTTCCACAATGCACTTTATTTGGCACGAAATGGTCTACAAGGTTGGTGTGCTGTAAAATAAAAATTCACTCCAACCTAACAAGTTCATTGTAGTAGAGGGTCACTCAGTGAGTAGCAAACTTACTGCACTCCTGATTTAGATCATGAAATAAGCATGCTTGTCAAGGTTGGCAGACAAGATTGCATGTAAGCTCTCTCCCCACCAAAAAAACCGTAAATAAAATTGCCTTTAATCTAGCAGTGTCTTAGTTATACTTTGAGATCTCCAGAATCTTACATATCTATAAGGATTAAAATATTACTACATATTGAATATTAAAATATTGCTGCTACATGTGGTCCAGTGATCTTGCTATATATCTAGAGCCTTGATAAAACCCAAAGAAGAATCAGCAATATTCTTAGTCCTGATCTTGCATCTCAGCTTCAGTCACTTTCCCATTGCCATAATGTTGCTTCCTTGTACCTTTTCTATAAATACTTTCATGGTAATTGTTCGAATGAGCTCGTTGCTATGGTACATAGACTTTATGAATTTAAGGGCAGTACTAAATTGGTGGCAAGGTCTCATCAATTCACAGTTGAGTTGGCTCGATGTAACTATAAATTCTATGCTGTTTTTTTTTTTTTTTCCCCACTTGTGGAACTCCCTCCTGGTTCCATGCTTTCCAGCCAACTTTGATCTACAAAAATTTTAATGCAATGTCAATCGTTATCTACTTTCATCTTGAGTACTCTTCTATTGTTTTTGATCCTTAAAGCCCCCCCGATTATTTTGGGAAAAACATTTCATTTTTAGACAAATTTTTTTTATTCGTTTTTAATATGGTAACTGAGACACATTGAAGTACCCGAGCAGTGGCTAACACCTACCAGACATACAAATTGACAATTGGACTTGTTCCAAGCTCAGAAGGGCATAAAAAGAATCTCAAGATCAATGTATAAACACGTCTGTAGATGGTTTTTGAACATTGCTTTGGATGTATTCATTCATCTGTGTCTGAAAAAAGACACTTTCTGCAAAAAAGCGTCTATGCTGGGGAAGAGGTTAAACTGATTGGTAGCTGATCAAGAAAATGCTATCCAATATGCTGTTAACTGGAGCAAGGAATGGCTTGTTAATTTTACTGCCTCCAAAACTCAACTACTCTCTATTAATCGTCTGAGAGAACCTTCTCTGCAATCTATCAGCATGGCTGATGCTAACCTCCAGGAGAATGACTTGTTGGACATTCTCAGGCTAATGTTCTCAGCTGACAGGAATCCATTGCTAGGTCAGCTGCAAATCTCTCAAAAAATTTAAATGCAATAGCAATCGCTATCTACTCTCTTGATTACTCTTCCGTACTTGCTCCTTAGTGGTGTTTCTTTTTCCTAATTCTTCCACACCCAGTAACACTTTGCGTCTTAGTGGCTTTATGGCCTTGCTTGTGGTGAACTTGATTTAAAAAAGAAAAAAAAATGATAATTTTAATACTGTAGTATTTTAGTGCTGGTAGTCTATGATGACTGGATAAATCTTTATTTTTTTTTTTTTTTTTTTTTTTTTTTTTATCATTTCATCCCAATCGAGGCGTCACTTAATTTGTCTTTCTACTGACTTGGTACGTGACTCTTTTGCTGTGCCTCAACTCCGGTAACTCACAATTACCAGGTGATGCTATTTACTTAACCAACACTTTAAATCATTGGACTACTGTCTTAATTTTGCAAGTCTCAGCCAAGGTGAAAATGATTGTCATAGAGTAAATTTATACATAATTGTAATCCTATCTCATAAATTCAGACAAAGATTATTAACAGTAATTCATTCAAAAAAAAAAATTTTAAAATTTAATTAAACCAGAATTATTTTAATAATTGTCATTTTTAATCAGTTAACAATTAATTAATAATTATGATTTTAATTATTTAACTGCCTTCATAATTAAAATTTGTATTTTTCATTTTAACAAAATGTTTCTAATGATAAAAATGTTTTTAATAACCAAAGTTAGGATCTTGTTTAGAACCTGATGAAAAATAAAATCTAACTGCAAACTTGGACCTTCGTGCCTGCATAAAAACTGAGTTACAAAAAGATAATTTTTTTCTTCCCTTGACACCGCTATTATTTTAACTACCTTCACTCCTCGGCAATGTTTGTTTTAAAAAGCGATGATTAGAATTGTAATAAAACGTAAACATGATGAAAGTTAATTTATACATTTTTTTGTTTGTGAGGATTTTTCAGCAAACATGTAAAACTATTCATTATATTTTATCTACAAGAATAATTTTATATTTACAACATTCTAAAAATGAATACAATTAAAACTAATGCAGTAGAACATTTATCAATTTATGAAGAAAAAAATAAATGTCAAAAAGTTTTTTTTTTATTCATAAATTTTTAAACATTTACTAGATTATTAAAATATGTGAATCCACTCTAAGGAAATTTTTATTATTTACCATTTTATAAAGTTTGAATAAAATTGGTAATTAGTCAATGTTTTGACAACCATTCCAATAAATAATTTAAATACTTTTTTTATTTTTGTTGTCAATTCTCAAGAACAAAGAAAATATGTAATTTCACTTTTATATGTTTAGGTTTTATTATAATTTTAATCATTGCTTTTTCAAAACAGACATTGCCAAACAGTGAAGGTAATTAAAATAATAGTGATGTCAAGGGAAAAAAAAACCCTCCTTTTTCACAGTCTCTTCCCCCCCCCCATGCCACCTAATCTCCTGGTGCAAAGATCCAAATTTGTCAATGTAACATGACTAACAATTGTACTAACAGCTGAAATTAAATTGTCATACTAATAATTCCTTAAAAACAGGAATTAAATCTCTTTATTTCTCTCTCTCTCTCTCTCTCTTGGCCTGATGATAGATTAACTAGAAACACCCCTGAAAATTTCATGTGTTTCCTATTTTAATTTTCTGATGAATCATAATTCTTAAGTTAATGATTGAATAAGCTCATAGCAAATGCAACAACAGTAAAATATCCATAGAAATTCCCCTCTTACATCATTAAATATTTGAGCTTAACAATTTTTACAAAATATTGCAATAAAAATCATATATATGAATGCTGGTCATTATTTTAAGGAGTAGGAGGATACAAATGAAAAGATTTGAAATTGACAACATTTTCCATTTCACTGAAACAGATGTTAAACAATTTCTTAATGGTTAAACTTTCTTTCATTTTCTCACTGAAACCGAGTCACATCTCCGATATGTCTTTTCATCTTTCCATGAAAACAAAATGAAATAGTCTATTATTTATGAAGTATTGGCAGGAAACATTAAACACTTTCTTTCTTTCTCTCACTGAAACCAAGTAGTGTCTCTGATATGACTTTTCTGTCTTTCCACATGTAACATAAGCACATTCTAATTCAGGAACTAAAGGAGGGACAAGCAGAATTATAAGATTAGCAGACATTACGGTAACTGAAGGTCTCAAAAGTTTTAAATTTAGAAATTATCTCTTTTAAATATATCTCAAATCAATGGATGA